AGAGAGAGAGAGAGAGAGAGAGAGAGAGAGAGAGAGAGAGATTGAGATCTTTTATAAAATATCTACACACCTTATATTCATATATCTGAAAATTTTCTCTCAAAATACTCTCTCAATAACAAAGTACTCTCTTAACGTATTAGTAGTTTGAGGCATTCTTTTAAGTATTTCTCTGTAACTTAATCTACCCTCTTAACTGTGAAACTCTTTTCTGTTATCAGCAGTGTAGACTGTTAGTGCTGCACCATCTTTGCCAGGTGGCTCTTTTAATGAAAAGACATGAATTCTGACTAGTCCAGAATACTTTTGGTCCCTTTGGCTCTGTTCATGCTGTTAAAGACTTTTTACTCTTTCTCTATTTCCTTTTCACTCTTTTTTCTGTAATCATTCAGTACTGGATAGGATTTCTTGCTCTATTTTATTATCATTTTCATGACTTAATTTCCCTTGTGTGTATAATGGGTCTGATAATACTCATGCCATAGCAGTACTCTGAAGATGGCAATGAGATGATACTTAAAGCAGACAGCACAGTGTCTGGAGTGTCCTTTAGTGCTCAGGAAATTGAGACTGTCATTCATTGTTTGCCTCCCACCCTAACCCAGAGGAAGTGTTGCAACTTCATGTAGTTACAGGATACAGATGATATATCTTTTGTGGAAGTATTATACTGTGTACATTTGTTGACTTATAAACTGAATTCCTCATGAAGTGTTTTAGAAGAAGGACCTGTGCACTCATCTTTGTGTCTGTCTTACTCGATGCTATTTCTTGAGCAACTGGAGATAATTGGGAGTTTCCAAGTGAGTTAAATCTTCTGAAAAGAGTTTCAGAAACAGAAACCAGATTCAAGTGGGTCGAGAAGTTGATGGAAAACCTGTGATAATTGTTAGGCATTTGTGTTGCCTGCATTGTGGATCATCTACCTGTAATCTGAATGCAGTTGACAGGCATCGAAGCCCTAGTGTTGCTAAGAGCCTTTAGAGCACTGAGTGAAAAGTACAGAGGAAGAGTAGCCAGGATAGCTTCACTCTCATGCATGTATGCCAGCTCACTGTGAAGGGACTGTGCTCTCAGCCTGGCAAGCACTGCCCTTTCCTTATGAGACAGAGCTGCTGGGGTATCAGAGCCGCATGCCTCATGGAGGTCTGTGCTTCACATTGGCCAAGGGAGAGTTGCTTGTATTTTCATAGCAGAATATCTTACCATTTCTTAGTAAAATGAGCCTTGATCTTATAGATTATGTGGTGGTAACTTATAAAAAGAATGAGCATTTTCTTTGAGCATCAAGAGGGTAGATATTTCATAGATGAATCTGTCAGAAATGAGTAAGACTTGATTATTACTTTGCTGAGGGAGGGAGGGCTGTGCAAAGCAGCTCTGTCTGAGGTCAGCAAGCTATTAAAATTTACTAAAGCAAATTGTTAGAACTGTTTAACTGTGTCACACGCATCATGAATCCTTGGAGAATTACTTTAAGTCTCAGTGGACTTTGGCCCGGCTGTATATAATAAGCTGTGCTCTTTGTGAGATTATCTTCTGGAAATGTTGGCACTTGCAGATGATTGCATTGTTTTTTAAGGATTTAAAATTCATTCATTCATAGCCTGGATTATTTCAGTTGCTGGTAGCATTTTAGTGTTGTAAAACAGGATTTCTATTTTTATTAGGGTTTTATTGCTCGATAATGGTTAGCAGCCATGGAAGAGGTGGCTGTGCAGACTTTTGTCCTGCAGAGCTCAGTGAAAAGACAGGCAGCGTTGATGCCCCACAATAAGCATATAACGATGATCTCCATGGCATAAAATGACAATAAGTGAGTAGGTAACCACCCAAACAAGGTAAACCTAAGTTCACATGGGCAGCAGACACCTCTGCTTGCCTCCTGCCTTCTGTTTGCCTTCCATCACCTTCCTCATTTTTTCTAGCTCCCCTTCCCCTACTTTCTCATGGAGGTAGTGTGGCATGTGTGGGATTTTATCCCAAGGCTGTGAGCACCTCAGCTGACTTCAATAAGAAAGAAATGAGTGACCTGCAGTTGAATTAGTCTCTGTATGAACCTACAACTTAACCATCAAGCCTATGAGAAAAAAACAAAACAAAACAAAGAACGTGGGTTCTTTCACTTTCCTTTTCTCATGTCTTGGTGTTTTTGTATTTATGGTGAGGGATAAGGGCGGAGTGGAGGGCAGAGAATGGGGTTTTCTCTGCAATGTGCTTTTCCCCTTTGCAGTTTTGGTTGCCATAGAAATGACCTTGCTGGGGAAGGGAAAGCATTGCCCAGCCCTGTTTCTCAAAGTCAGTCCAACATTCAACAGCTTTCTCTCTACTTGCTCTTTCACCTGTGTCTTGGTGTGCAGGAGAATGAGGGGTAGAGGAGGGAGGGAACCATTTTGGGTCCCTGTGTGGGCATCTCCACTTTCCCTACTCTGTTTTGCTAGGATGAGCCTCGTTTTCATTGCATCTTTCTCCTGTTCCTCACTATATTGAGCAGATGCTTAGACTTTGGTGTTGGCTAAACTTAGCCACAGTCCTGTCCAGTGTCTACCGGCATCACTTTCACTTCATGCTGGAGTATGAAATTGAACTATAGCAGTTTGTTGTTCTGTGCTGGGCACTGCAAATGTAGAAATGAATCCTACATGCTCTTATCTTGGAAGGACTCATTATGTGATAAAGTGGAGCTAGGGGAGAGGGATCATAGATTCAGATAAACAGAGAAGGGGAGTGTGGGAAGAGCATTAAGTTGAGAGCAATGAATTCTTGTAGAAGCTGGGAGAGCAGTCTTGAAGATGATGACGTCTACATTGTTTCTTGACTGATGAGCAAGGTGTACCAGTTGGTTATGAAAAATTATGAAGCAAGAAAACCAGGGTGTGCTCTGTCATGAAAGAACAAAAGACAAGTGAGAACATCATTGCAGTTGAAGCAGAGAGTATATGGGACTGAGGGGGATCCTCATGGAGGATTCAGGGAACATACTCGAAGTTCCTCTCAGGAGCTAGCACGAAGGATAGGTAACAAAGGGTCAGGTTTTGTTTTGATTTTGTTTTTTCGTGTGTGTGTTTTTGTCTAGACACTAGCTTTGAAAGCATGAAGGATGCTAGAGTTGGAATGAGCAAGAGAAATAGCAGACAAACTAGGCAGGATGCTCTATTGACCGTGATAGTCATGGAGTTTCCAACCAAGCAGAGGCCTTGAGTTCCTTATCATCTTCATTTTCTTAGGGTTATTTTCATTTTTAAAAAAACTAAATCCACTTAGTTTATAGGCCCTTTTTGCTAATTTTGGGGGGCTAGTTTCTAACTTGTAGACTCACATGGCTCCTCTGCTGCAGCCTTCTAAGTAGCTTGGGCTACAGGAAGCACAACATCACACCTGGCAACGTTTTTGGGTTTTATGCTTTTGTTTCATGTGGTGAGATATGGAGCCTGACAGCAGGCTTCTGTTCCTTGCTCTCCCCGTGTTCCCTCTACTCAGACACAACACAGAGCTGTGAATACGCACTGTTACCCCGTCCTATTCAGCAAGCTGGGAGGTTATGTTCAGCATCCCAACAAATGCCCAGAGCAACAGGGGATGCTCAAAAATCATTTACTGAGAAAATGAAAGGATGAGTATGGAGTCCCTGGAGACCAAAAACTGCTGATGAGAAAGAAAAATTGAAATAATAACCAGAGTTAAATCATGAAATGGTTAGGTCCTTTTTTATTTTTAAGTTCTTTGCTTGCTTTCTTAACAAGGTACAAAATCATGAATTAATGAACTTACCAAGGGATATGGCCCACCTGTTGTTTGGACCCTTATTTACTCAAAGCAATTAGCAATTAGCAGCTGTTGTTGGAGTAGCTGTATGACTCAGGGTTCTTTGTGAGGGTTCTATGTGAGGTCCCTGTAGCTGCTATTCCTCTTGAAATTTGAGGGAAAAAATCAATAACAATTTAAATAATAGTCTTCTTTGCACAGAAATATAGTTTATGGTCTCATAGACTTATGCAGCTGGCATACCCATGTGAATACTGACTCCCAAATTCTCCTTGAATTTGGTCTCTGTGGACATTTTTGTGAAGTCCTTTGTTTCCGTAACAGTGGTTTCCTATCACTTCTGGTATATGGACACTTTCTAAACTTGCACCCTCTCCCCAATATAACTAATGCCCTGTACTTCAGCTACTCATTGCCCAAGAGAATAATCAGTGGTCTTATGATGCTTTCTTTGCCATCCAACTTACTGTTCTGAAAAATATAAAACACAGAAAATGTGAAAAAATAGTGCATGTTTACTTCTATCTCGTAGTCAACGATTATTAATATTTCCCATATTTCCTCTGTCCAACATTTATTTGCTGACATATTTGAAAGTAACAGACAGTACTTCACTGTGTGTGGTTCCTTCAAATAAGGACATGCTCCTATGAACACTAGGAAAATGAATAGCAATTTTCTAAAATTTTTTTTATGCATACATCTCTAGTTCTAAATGTCTTTTGCAGCTTTTGCTCCTTCCTTTGCAAACCCGGTGTTCAATCAAGGGTAATGAGTTGCATTTGATTTTATATTTTGTTAAGTTTATTTTAATCTAGACTACTTCCTTCATATCTCCCCTTTTTCCGTTTGGAAGACAAGGGCCCATTATCCAGCAGATTGTCCTGCACCCTTTCCTCTCCTCCCCTTTCCCTTTCCTTTTCTCTTGTAAAAAAAAAATTAGCTACGTGTATGTCTGTCTGTGGGTATGCACATGTGTGTGGGTGTCGAACCCCCTTGGAGCTAGAGTTGTGGATAGTTGTGGGCTACCTGGTATGGGTACTTGGATCCAAACTCAGGTTGTCTGTAAGAGAATACACGATCTTAGTGGCTGAGCCATCTCTCCAGTCTGCCTTCCTTTTCTTAATGTGGTGCTGAGTCTCGGAGTGCTAGGCAAGTGCTTCTTCATTAACAGACATCTGCAGCCCCACATGAGTGAGGTTTTTTTAAACTTAAAACTATTTTATTTATTTTTATTATGTGTGTGTTTTACTTGCATGTATGTATATGCATCATGTCCACTGGAACTGAAGTTCTGGATGTTTGTAATCCACCATGTGGGTGCTGGGAACCCAACCTGGGTCCTCTCCAAGAGCAGCAAGTGCTTTTAACTGCTGAGCCATCTCTCCAGCCACCATGTATGAGTTCTTAGGAAAGGTTTTTTCCTTCTATCCCTTTTTATAGATACAGATAAAACTGAATTTGAAAATAATTTCTAATCAAGGAATTATTGATGAATGAAGCTATTCTTTATGGATGAATGTCAGTTAAACATAGAAGGAATGCTAAACGTAGAAAAATCAATTTTCTGCTACTGCCTACGAAATAATTATTTAAATCAAAGATGCTAAACCACTAGGGAGAAGGTTTTCAGGAACAGGATAGTCATACAGTGCCAAGATATTACTCAACAAAATACTTGCTAATTGCAGTGGGGAAAACAGACCTTTGCAATGGAGAGCTTTGGAGCCTGGGGACCAAGTGCTTAAACCTAGCATCACTAATAGTGGACCAGCCTAACAGTACATGTCTCTGTGGTGCTATAGTAAGAAGTTCATGACACTGTCTCTGAAAACACAGCTTGAGTGTCCAAAATGTATTTTGAATTTCAGGGTTTTTTTTTTTTTTTACTTTAGAATATTTGCAGACTCCACCAGTTACACACCCCTAATCCAGAATGTGCAGTCTGAAATGTTTCAAAATCTACAATTTTACCAACAGTCACTTCAGCATTCAGATGCTTGATGAAACTTATTCAAGCCTTCTAGACTTAGCTTTGAGTTTAGAGGAAATACAGGGTAGAGAAACAAGTTACATGATATCATAAGGAAGTAGTCAGGCCTGCCTAGAAATAGTTTTAAATGAATTTGCATTTTATTAATCACTGTGTCATATCTATTCCCTTGAAAAACAGTAGTGCATATATACTTGTGGCAGTCCTTTCGGTACCATGCAGATGGAGCTGGCTCACCAGATCTGTCTGTGGGTTCTTTGCTGCTGCTTCTGGGGAATCACAGAACACAGCATACTCTAGTTCCTTTGACAGGGTCATATTGCAGCTTGTACAGCTTCTTAAAAATTTAGCTCACAGAAATCATTTTGCCACCTTTCAAAAACACTAATTCACATACTGAAGTGTAAGAATGGAGGATGGAAAATTGATTATGCCCTAAGCATTTAACTCACAAGAGTTTAATACGTTTTGCTACCAAGGTATTTAGAAAGAACTGGAAAATTGACACTGTTTTATTTTGTGCCAACTTGTGATTTATTGTTGGTTTTGCTAGCCCTAAAATTGGTCTTCCAGAAATACTCTAAGGTTAAGCTGTATCATTGAGGCAGTATATTTATTAAGTGGTGATTGTTTCAACACTAATTTATTATTGATCTTTCAGGCCTACAGCAGCAGAACTTTTAAAATGCAAGTTCTTCCAGAAAGCCAAGGTAACATTCTTAAAAACCCAAGTAAATTTGTTATTTTGAAATCACTGTGCATTTGCATGTATCTGATTTGGTATTAAACTGTTGGGATCATTTGCTTTACAGAATAGAGAGTACCTGATTGAGAAGCTGCTTACAAGAACACCAGACATAGCCCAAAGAGCCAAGAAGGTACGTGTCACCTCCTCCCATCACCCTGCAGGATCCTGTCCCCAGCCAGAAGATGAAACCCATAGAGAAACAGGAAGAAGGTTCCCACACACTTGGGCTTGCTATTTAGAGGTTATCTGGTGATGAGCACTCTGATAACTGCATTTTCCTTCTCGTATCTCGGGTTGCTGTTACATGTTTGGGTGTGGAAACAATGTGCAGTTCAAACAGTTTCATTTTTCCATTTACCAGCTTTGTTGAAAGAAGGTCAGAGATGGTGGTTCATAGCAAGATTTAAATATTAGAGAAGAAAAACAGTGGCATATCTTTGCTCTGAGTTTTATAAAAAAGGAATGGTTATGTTTTTTATTGAATTTTTGTGCATTTCACACAGAACATCACAAACTTAATCATCTTTATACCCCCTTCCCCACTGGCGCCCTCTCAAAGCCCCCCCCCACCACTGGAATTCATACATTCTGTCATTTGTTTTAAGGCATATTGTGTCAAGTTAGTGTCCCCAGTCATTCCTCAGTTCATCTACTGAGGTGTAGTCAGCTTATGCAGAGTCCCTCACTTTAGGAAGATCAGCTCTTCCTCACCTATCAGCAATTAGTTGTCAGTATTTCTTCAGCTAAGTTTGGGGTCTGCTGTCCATTATCCAGTTCTATTCTGGGTTTTTGTCTGTGTGAGTTTGCATGGGATTTGTGTATGCTGACACCATTGCTGTAGAATCATATGAGCAGGGTCCCAGGAACTTGTAGGACTCTTTTTCCTATGATCATGTATGTCCTCCCTGGCTCTTACAATCTTTCCACCCCCTCTTCTGCGATGTTCCCTGAGCTGTGGGTGGGTGAAGTTTAATATAGGAGTCCTGTCCAAGGATGAGCATTCTATAGACTCTTAATCTCTATGCTTTGGCCATTTGTGGCCTTTTGTGTTCTTGACCCTCTGTTGCATGAGGGAGCTTCATTAATGAGAATTGAGAGAGTCATTAGTGTTCTCTTTACCCCTTGTTCTATGTTCCATGAGCCTTAGGTGTAGAGGTTGCATTGTAGATATATGGATGTGTCACTTAGGCTTGGGCAATTCATACACAACGTCTGTGTGTTACCAGTTGTGGTACTCTGTGATAGTTTCCTTCTGGTGCAGAAGAAGCCTCTTTGATGAGTGGTAACTGGAATATTTGTCTGTAAATATAAAGATACATATCTTGAATATGGTAAGAAATTACATTAGTCTAGGGATGTGACAGTCTTGGGGTTTTCTCTAAGATCTATGACCTCTCCAGCCATGTGTATTTGGTTATGTGTACAATACCACACTTGAGTTTCCTCCCATTGAGTGGGCTTTTAGTCCAATTAGGTGGCTGTTGATTGTCCCCAGGATAAAAGTGCCATTATTGCACCAATGTCGAATGTTGTGCCAGCCATTGATGTGGTTATTTGGTCTTGAAGCTGGTGTTGGACCATCGATTGATGTTTTCCCTTGGGACCTTCATAGTGCTTGCCAAAGCTTTGAGAACTAGTCTTAAGGATAAGTGGCTTCAGGTCAGTTCCAGCTCCATTGCTCCAAATCCCATGTCTGAAATATGTTCTGTCTTCAGCAGTAGGGTCTTACCTTCAAGTTCTGTGAGGCAATCAAGGTCTGTGGCAATAGCCTGTATAATTTGGGGAGTCTTCTGGGCCACAATGGCTAACAACTCAGAAGAAGGTTTCTCCTGTCTGACACTGTTTCTTGTTATGTAGCCTTTTGCTATACACATGAACTCATGTAGAGATATTGTTTAAAATGATGAAAATGAATAATGTGTGTGTGTGTGTGTGTGTGTTCGTGTGCTTGTGGAGGCCAGAGGTCTATGTCAGGTGTCTTGGCCTTCAGTTGTTCTCCACCTGATATTTATTTCTCATTTATTTATTTATTTATTTATTTATTTGTTTGTTTGTTTGTTTGTTTGTTTGTTTATTGTTTGTATTTTATGTTTGAGTATTTTGTCTTCATGTATGTAAGTATACTACATAAGTGCGATGCCCAAGGTCATCAGAAGAGGATGTTGAATCCCCTGAAATTGAAATTGGATTTACAGATGGTTGTAGGCTACCATGTAGATTCTGGGAACCAAACCTCTGCAAGAGCAGCCAGTACTTATAACCAATGAGCCATCTCTCTAGCCCCTTTCCATGTAGTTTTTGAGACAAAAACCTGAAACTCACTTATTTGTCTATATTGGCTGGCCGGTGAGCTTCAGAGATCCACTTGTGCCCTCACCTCTCACCTTGCAAACCAGCACTTGAGTTGTAGGTGTGTATAGCTGTGCTCAGCTTTTTCATGTTGGTGCTAGGGATGCAAGGTCCTTATCAACTGAACTGTCTTCCCAGCCCAAAACTTTTGTTTCTAATGGCTGTTTGAGTATCTGTGGCATGTAATTTATTACTTATAAAAGTCCTGTGATTCCTTTCCTAGTCTACCTTATAGTCACTGAGATATACCTATGTTTACCTAAAGTTTTCAGTTCGAATGTTTAGATTCTTAAAGTGGCTTGTATGTTGAATGTATTTATTTGTCTGTTAGGGATGATTAATCCACTGTTGTGGATTACATTTTGATATGTATGACATCTAATGACCATTGTAGCCATTGGTTTTGTTTTTGGTTTTAAAACTAATGTATATTTCATTTAAAAATTTATTTTGTTGCTTTTATTTTAGACATATGAGTGTATTGCCTGCATGTATGTAAGTGCAGCCACATGTGCAATGCCCACCTTGGTCAGAAGAGGGCATTGGATCCCCTGGAACTGAAGTTAGGGGAGGTTGTTAGCTACCATGTGGGTGCTGGGACTCGAACTTGGGTCCTCTGCAAGAGCAGTCAGTACTCTTAACTGCTGAGCTATCTCTCCAGCCCCTAAAATTAATATATAGTTTAATAAAAAATCCATACTCTGCAGATTTATACAGGGAACTTTTCTCTTTTGACTCCTCATTTACTGGTATAGGAAGAGTAAGCACGGGTATGACTTTGAATTGCATGTGATTGAAATGAAATTGGTAAACGTGCTTTATAGATTGTATCCCATCACACCCAGGTTTAAGCAACTGAAAAACACATTTAGCTGGAGCTTTAAAATAGTTACAAGCAGTTTTTCAAGTAGACATGACAGAGTGACCCACTCTGTATATGTCTGAACTCCTTTGCTGGCCAGTACAATTCTGGGGAGTGCTTGCTTCTGGTTTTGTGTGGAGATTATTGTATTCACTTTGTAGACCCCTGTATCTCAGACTTCTCATGTGGGTAACAGGAAAAGCTGGGTTAGTGTCCATCTAGTTACAAGTGTAAAGAGAAAAGCTAATGCCTTCCTCTAAGGGAATGGGCTGGAATCTGGAAGTGCCTAACCAGTTTGAGGGATCTCAACAGCAGTCTGGAGACACTTCTTGGAGTGTTGGTGTCTGGTCCCACATCTTTTGATCACATGTCCAGAATATCCAGAATATTAGACAGAGGTGAAACAGCTGTCAGAGACCCACTGGCTTCTATAGCAAACATCTGTAAAGGACTGCTTTTGTTTGTTTGGTGTATATTTTGGGTGTGTGGGGGGGGTGGAGGGTCGGAAATTTCACCTTTCCTCCAGCCTCAGAACACTGGACTTATGTGCGAGACCTCCTTCCCTCCAACACTGCCCCATTTCTAGGTCCCCTCCTTGCTTCTCCCTACAAGGTTGTAATTCCCTTTTTTCCCTCCTTCCTTTCTCTCCCTTTTCACCCTTTATTGTTTTACTCTGTAGCCCAGGCTGGCCTCAAACTCATGATTCTCCTGCCTTAGGCTGTAAAGTACTTGGATTACAGGTATGCACCACCAGATATGCCTCCACCTCTGTTTTTAACTAGACAACTTAGGTAGATTTCTGACTTTTCTTTCTAATCTCCTTTTCTAGTCTTCCTTAGATACTGTTTAAGATTAACTTTTTGACCATGCTTAAGAGTGCCTCCAAAATTAAGCATAATGTATAAATAATGCAGATAAATGAAGCTATAGAAATAAAAATATTGGTTCCTGTCTAATAAAGGCCAAGGTCCTTAATCTTGAATTTTCTAACCTTCTAGTCTAACCAGCAGCCAAAATGAACCTTGTGTGTTTCTTTAATGTAGCCCAGATTGTCCCTTTGCACTTCCATGAGTTTGAGAAAATGAGAAATCTGTTCAGGCTATGAATTTTTCCCTTCCCCTTAAAAAATGTTATTTATTACATATTAATGTACTATATATCCCCAATCCCATTTGTCATGTATATTAGACAATAAGCAGCTAGAATTTGGGGAGATGTGAATTTCCAACCATATCTTCTGGCATTTCTTGGCTCATTTTGCTATGTTTTACTGTTTTATGGCAGAGTCTTGATATGTAGACTAGGCTGCCTTCAACTCGCTGACTCTCCTTGCCTCTGCTTCCCAACTACTGGAATTAAAGGTCTGTACCACCACAGCCGGATGTTGGCTCCTTATTTTGTCATCTCTTTGTCTTTTCCAAACAGAAAATAACTTTCCATTTCATACCTCTGTAGAATAAAAGAAGACTATAAAGTAGTTTTTAAGCATCTTAAGGAAAGGGCATAGTAATGTTATACTGGCTCTCTAGCTTTCTAAAGAGGCATGCTTCCCCCTCAATCCCTTTCCTCATGGATACCATTACTGTACTTCAACAACATATTAGGGATCATCTTTATTCCTTTGGCTTTGATTTTTCTGTCTTTGAAATGGGAATTCTATATGATCCCAGGTATATAATGAAGGATAATGAGCTATTTGACATTCTTGAACCCCAAAATGCTCTGTATGTACTGAGTAAGAACATGCTAACAGTAGCTTCCAGAATAGACTGTCCTAGATTGTTCTTCATTGCTGTGACAAAACACTGACCACTACCAACTTGGGGAGGAAAGGGTTTATTTATCTTACATCTCCCAGGTCACAGTTCATCAGGGAGTCCAAGGTAGGAACTCAGGGCAGGAACCTGGAAGCAGGAGCT